AGAGCGGCCCGGCGTGGGGGGGCGGGGCACGCACACGTGTGTGTGTGTGAGACACGTGCACCCAGCACCCACGTGTGCAGGACACGGCCACGCGCAAACCGCCGGGCTCGTCCGTGGTTTACTACAGAAACAGGGACGTGGTCTCCGCCATTGGCAGCGTTGGTGTTCACGTGAGCGTGCGCATCCTGGCCGTCATCATCCTTAGTGACGTCATCCGAGCTGCCCACGTTATTGCCTCCACCATCATCATCATCATCACGAACAGCAGCAGCAGCTTCGTCATCGATCTAAATAGCGTACAAGGCGGGGCGGGAACGCAGCGCGCGTCACTGCTAGTATTGCTGCGGGCGGAGGCGGAGCCTTTGCTGGGGCGGGGTTACTGCGCTTTCTGTTACACACATCACCGATAGCATGACGCGTCCTGCTCTTGCTTTGTGGCTGCAAATAACAGCCCTAGTGCTAGCAGCGACCACGGAGCAACGCCAGCGAGGACAGCAACATGGGCCCTGGTTATTCCACCGGCTGTTACAAGAGTCGTAGTTGTTGCAGCAACCACAGCATGATCATCATTATCACGCATAGATAATAAGAGCGAGGATGGCGCTGGCGGCGGCCGTCCCACGCGTCAAGTCATGTTACTTGATGACGACGAGGACGATGCTGCTGCTGCCGATAACATCACGGATATGTGTCCTACCGTTACGGTAGCATTTTGTTGCTGCTGTTACAAACCACATCCTCAGTAATACTGGCATTATTTTTATTACCTATATTTCAGTGCAACTATAATTCATTGCCCAGCACTTATTGTTATGCCATTAGGAAGTGTCAAACTGAAAAATCACTCTTCACCCCGTACAGTGCAATGCTCTTCTAACGACGAGTTTTTCATCACTCTTGCAGACTTGGGGCCTCTGATTATCCTTGACCAGATCCTGACAAACTTTTGAATTCTTATTGCTCCATAAAGTGGTTAGCAGGGATCCTTTCATCTCAGATGAAAAAAGGAAAATCCCCTATTTTCAGTTTAGAAAAAGTAGCCCCAAATCCACATTTTTCCATGAGTAAAATGAAACACCACTAATATTAATTAGTTGCTGAATTATTACTATTCTATTCTGCCCGCTACGAGCCGGCGGCAGGAAGATCACCAGAAAGTCGGGATCCTGAATGACGTTAATATCTGAAAATTGCCAGCAGTGATGATGATAAAGGCCAGGGGGATCACTGGGTTAAAATATGACCTCTGCTTTTATTCTCATTTATTCTGTTTTATTCCGATCGTTTTAAGTGCACCAGTCTCAATACCGATGCGCTGCGCGGCAGGGTTGGAAGGCGTTCGTTATCGAAGTTGGGGCTCAATTTTCGGTGCTCTCAGCGCGTTGCAAATGCTCCCGGCCTCCTCATCTCCCTGCCCGTGCTCTCAGCAATAACTTCCATACATTTGAATAACGAGCGGCCATTCAACTGTTCCCATTTGACTACCACTTGGTGGCTTTCAAGGCCTAACGAAGTCCCATTGCTCATTATCGCCTCATCTGTGGTACAAGCAATCATCCACTGGAATAATGACAGGCCACTTCTAATGGCTTTGGGAGTCGCAATATTCGCCTGCCGTGTCTCCTCGCAGGCACTATGCAATCCCTCCCCACCCCCGTAGAAAAGCAGCTGCAGGCAATTTTGGTGCGCATTACAGAGGGGAAATACGGTAAGAGCTCGTTTCTGCTCGTTATAGGCCGTTAGGCGGAAAGACTCAGGATTCACATTCTTTCAAGGCATGTCCTGCATTCCAGGGGTGTGTTGTATCCTAGAAAATATGGTAGTATTAACCCCGAAAAGCCTCGTTTGCTTGCTATTAGCATGTATTTGAATACATTTGCATACATCTTGACCATCTCGCGGTCACAAGTTCGCTCTGGTTCTGGTCTTTTGAATAGTTCTTGCTCATTAAGAGACTGTCCTTTCTTATTAGGATTTATGTGACTCCCCTTGAATAATTAAGGGTCGAGGGGGTCAGAGACTGCAGTTTCGGCATCAGCACATTCGACACACTGAGTCCCCACATAATCAAATATGCAAATAGAGGCCTAATTGAGGTCCGGAGACATTTCTCATTCTTCCAACAGTAAAGGGACAATTGTATTTCACTCTGTGAGGGAAGTGTGGCTTTATCCCCCTTCCCGCAGCTTTGAATTAGCAGTAGCAGATTCAAGGGCCAAGAGTTAACTCTTCCGAAATCAATCCCCCTTCCTCTTTGGCCTCAAAATTGACTTGTTTCTGGAGGGGTTCACTAATGACCTAGTCATTGGTTAACTATTTAATTCTCTGCTGGCAAAAGTGCAGCGAGTGAATAGAAAGAGTACCTTTTTGGGGCCTAGCTGAGATTCCCGGGCAGCTGATTCGCTCTTAATTATTTTCCTCCTTATAAAAATGGGGCGCACGGGGGGTGGGGGGGGGGACGGGACGGGGACACTCAAATGGGGGGGCGGGGACGGGGACACTCAAATGGGTGGGGGTTCATTCGTCATTTCCTTTCCTCAGGGTCATGGCGAAAGTGCGGGGTGCGAATAATTAACCCGTTCCTTTGTCCCAGCCTGAGGTTTCGCTCGCCGCTGATTCGTCCCGCGAGCTGACCCCCCCCACTTTGTTCCCACCCAATCCATTTCCTGAGTCATTAAAGGGTTGATTTGCATCGCTCCGCGACGTATTCAGATTTATGCAAATGAGCGTTCATTTAGATACACGTGTGGCGAAAGTACCGAAGCCGGACAACGTAATGGCTTCCCCAAGCTGCGGTTTCACCCTCCGCCGATTCGTCCCTCCCCGTTTCCAACGCTTTAAAAACCCGGCTTGGGCCTGGCTGGGCCTGTCTCGGCTTCATTTTGGTTGGACGTCATAGCTTATTTGCATATATGTAAATAGAGAGCGAAGCGAGGACGTGGCGAAAGTGCGACCGACCAACAGTCCCCTCAGTTCCACCCCCGTTTCACTCCCTCCCTCCAAGCACCCCCGCCCATCTGGAGTCGGGCGCTAGGTCCGGGTTAGCCGCTGCAGATTCGCTCTCCCTCGTGGGGGGGCCGAAATCGGTGGGAAATAGGGTTACTTAATTAGAATAAATAATTAACGATTTATTAGGGGCGGAGCAGGGTGCAGAATAAGCGGGAGGGTGGGTAACGAAAGTGCGGAGACGAATACCCAACCTTCGCCATCCTTGTCACTCACCGCCCCCCTTCGGGGCCGAGCGCTAGCTGTGGGTTGGCCGCTGCAGATTCGTCCCTGCTCCATAAGAAGCGGGGCGAAATAGGGCCTAAATTAGCATTGGGTAATTAAAATGAATAATTAGCTATTAACTGGAGATTCGAGGCGTGACGAAATAGCCGGAAAGGGGCGGACGACGAAAGCGTGGAGGCGGACACCTCCCCTTCCCCTGCTGATTCGCTGGCACCGATTCGCCTCGCCCTGAGGCCACCCGGGGAGAGGCGGGGGGTAAATAAATACATAAATAAATAAACAAGGAAAAAAAGCTTGTTGTTCGAGCTGGAATTCGGATTTATTTCTATTTTATTTCTTTTATTATATTTTTTAACGCCGTGTCGAAAGTGCCGCACATCGGGAAGGACCGTGTGTACTTGTAAGTGTG